AGGAGGAGGGAGTCTGGGAGGGGGGGGGGTGGGAATTCGTGTATTGGATCCTTATCATATCATCCATCTATGTAGAGAAGAGAAGTGCAGTGTTTTGCGAAGAAGAGGGAAGAAAATCAACAAGTAATTCGAGGAAGAATAATCAGAATCACTTTTTGCGTTGCAATAGCAAACAGAGGTGAAAGGGAGTGTTTATTGAAAAATTGAAGGAGATTCAGCTTACTAGTGATTCCATTCTTCCGCAGTGACACCAAAGATTACCTGAAAATCACAGATCAGAGGAACTCTCAGTTATCCACCAACATTTTTTCTTTCTACACCAAAAAAGCAAGTTCTCAAGTTGAAGGAAGCAACTTGGGATGGATTTCAGAATTGTCAGTATGCTACCCACAATGGAGGTTTCACTTAAATTTCACCCAAAAGAAAAACATGACAAAAACTTTGGGTATCCTGTTACAGAAATTAATTTTTCCCATCCTCTCCCCACCTTCCTCCTCTCACACTTCAAGCTTTCATGAATGTGCAAATTTATTTTGCTTCAACTCTACTTGTATGCAGAGAGCTGAGCTAATTTCTTAAAAAAATTGAGGCTCTCATTGAGAAAATTAGGAGCTGAAGCTTGGGGCCTCATTGAAAATCTCATGGAAAACAACAACAACAAAAAAATGATTAAATGGGAAAATTGGAAAAAGGAGAAAAATCAGAACATGAAACCATCTTGGTTGAGCTTGAATTATTGGATGTGAAGCATGGGATGGTCCTCATTCCAGGGGATTCTAAAGCCAGGCTGACACATCAACCAGGCCTTCCTCCTCCTCTTTCCCTACCCCCAAACCCATCTATTGGAGTCCAACAACAAGAAATGTTGGAGATGGCAGCACCTCCACATCTACTACTGCCAAAATGGATTGGCAGGCTAGGAAAGACTACTCACCCAGTTGAACCATCAGATATGACTGGTGGAAGCTTATGGATCAGTACCATTTCTCAGGCACAGAGCACCACCATTTACCAGGAAGACTGGAGAGT